CAGGCCCGGATGAGCTGCATCCGAGGGTACTGAAGGAATTGGCTGGTTTCATAGCAGAAACATTGGCACGGCTGCTTGAGTGCTTGTGGTGCTTGGGTCAGGTCCTAGAGGACTGGAAAAGGGCCAGTGTGGTCCCTATTTTCAAGCTGCATCTGAGGGTACAGAAGGAATTGGCTGGTGTTAAGGCCAGTCAGTCTCACCTCTATCCTTGGAAAAGCCTTTTAAAAGATCATGAAGGATCTTATTTGTGGGAGTCCAGCGGGAAAAAATAATGCAGCAGGCAAACCAACATGGATTCATAACAGGTAGATCATTCCTGACCAATCTGGTTTCATCTTATGACAGGGTCACAAAATGCTTAGATGCAGGAGTAGAGGTGGATGTTGTTTTCTTGGACTTTAGCAAGGCCTTCAATACGGTATCTCATCCTATTCTCATAAATAAATTAAAAGGCTGTGACATAGATGTTTACACAGTCTGGTGGGTGGCAAATTGGCTTAGCAGTCACGCACAGAGAATGGTAGTAGATGGGTTGGTATTGACCTGGAAGGATGTGGGTAGTAGGGTCCCACAGGGTTTAGTCCTTGGACCTGTACTCTTCAATATCTTCATCAGTGACTTGGATGTGGGTGTGAAGTGTACTCTGTCCAAATTTGCAGATGATGCTAAATTGTCGGGTGAAGTGCACACTCTGGAGGGTAGGGAACAATTGCAGGCAGACCTGGACAGGTTAGAAAAGTGGGCAGCACACAATAGGATGCAGTACAACAAGGACAAGTTCAGAGTGCTGCACCTAGGGCACAAAAATATCCAGCACACCTGCTGGCTGGGAAGTGACCCTCTCAGCAGCACAGAAGCAGAAAGGGATCTCAGAGTCATAGTGGACTCCAAGACAAACATGAGTCATCAGTGTGATGAAATCATGAGCAAAGCTAACCGTACTTTATCATGCATCAGCAGATGCATGATAAATAGAAGCAAGGAGGTGATACTTCCCCTCTATGCGGCATTGGTTAGACCGCAGTTGGAGTACTGCATCCAGTTTCGGATGCTGTACTTCAGGAAGGATGTTGACAGACTCGAGAAGAGGTCCAGGTCCAGAAGAGGGCCACTCATATGGTTAGGGGCTTACAGGACAAGCTCTACGAGGAGAGACTGAGGGCCCTGGACCTCTTCAGCTTCCGCAAGAGAAGCCTGAGAGGTGATCTTGTAGATGCCTACAAATTCCTTAGGGGGATGCAGCACGGGATCAGATGCTCTGTTCTTCAGGGCACTTCTTGGGGTAACAAGAAACAATGGTCACAAACTAACAGAGAGCAGATTTAGGCTAGATAGGAGGAAACATTTCTTCATGGTAAGGGTAACCAAAATTTGGAATGGGTTTCCAAGGGAGGTGGTGCTCTCCCCTACCTTGGGGGTCTTTAAGAGAATGCTGGATAGGCATCTGGCTGAGGTCATCTGACCCCAGCTCTCTTTCCTGCCAAGACAGGGGGGCGTCTTTCCTGCCCAAGGCAGAGGTTTGGACTCAATGATCTGTTAAGGTCCCTTTCAAACCTAGCATCTATGAACCTATGAATAGGAATCTATGAAAAGTGATTCTAGTTTCTAATTAACAAATAGAGGGATGATTACTCTGTATTATTTTTGTGCAGGAAACAAAACAGGGTTCAACACAGAAACTATGTAAAAGTATTAAACATTAGAGATTTATTTCCCTGCAGTAAGAATAGGGGGCAGTGGGGTTGTAACAATCATCTGTTCTCACAAGCTAAAACAAAACAAAATAAACCACTAATAGGCTGATATTTACCAGTAATTCCTAGATGCCCAATGACACTATCATGCTCACAGGCATATAGAAACGGTAGTTATGTTGGACATAATTCATCCATTTTAACCTATAACCACACATTTTTACTATGTGATTTCTCTTTGCCAAGAAAATTGTGTATGCTGTGTGTGGGGTTCAGCAATCAAGGCTTCTAAAAGGTTTTGGCATGTGTAACATTGGGTATGTATATTTGCATCTCACAGTATGTTCTTAATGTGGGTTGATCAGACATGTGAAGTATCAGGGGTGGATCTGGTATTTGGCAAAGGGAGGTACAGGGGCAGGTGTGGCTGCAACCCTGCTCCCAGACTCCTCCCCCCAACCCACCAGTGCAGGCAGACAGCTGCAGGAGCCTCTGGGGACTTCTTAAAGTTCCCAAAGCAGGTAATCACCCCCCTTCCCTCAGTGCTCAGAGGCACATTCCCTCCCACCCCTTCTGTGCCCTGCTTTCTCTGCTGTCCCTGGGGTTGGGGAAGCTTCCTAGCTCCTGCCTGATGGAGCCAGGCTGCATAGGGGCTGGGCTTAGCTGGGAACAGCAGGAGGAGCAAGGGGTTACTGCCCTAGGTGAGCCCAGCCCCTGTGCAGCCCAGCTGGAGTAGACAGGAGCAGGTTTCCCCTGCCCTGGGACAGCAGGGAAATGAGCCGCGGCAGGCGGGGGACAGAGAAAGAAGAGGGGAGGGCACATGTTTCTGAGCATGGAGGGGAAGGGGAGTTTCTCTTCCACTTTAGAGATTTTCTTAAAGTATCCAAAGGCTCCAGCAGCACAGTCCAGTCTGAAAGAGGGATGCAGCCACGCCACTGCACCTCTCGGGATCCACCCCTTTTAAGTAGGCATATGAGATTAGTTATTTTTAAACCTTTCTGCATTGCATCATACTGTTTTTTGCTATTTTTGATATGACTTCAGTTTTTCCAGCATAAAGCTATTGACTTTATTTAGCTTAATTACTAATTACAGAGAAATACTGCTAAGCATCAGTGAATGTTACAAAAGTAGGACCTAACTGAGAGAATGAAAAGAACAGGGTATGTTATATCGCTGTGTTTGGCTGCAGATTCCAACGTTTTTGAAAAACGGAACTTGTTTTTCACTTTTCTGTTGATCACATAAGAAAGCTCAACACTTTAATCAACAGATAGACTCTCCTGGCACGTAACGTACAGGATCTGGCTGATAGCATTACAGTGTTGAGTGGGTGCATTTTGTACGTCTTTCAACCGTCATGTAGTTGTTTAATGCTGTCCTATTGTATTTGAAATTTCCCATTTAAAGAATTGTGGGGGGTGGCTAAGTAAGACACAAAGAATCAAAGTTGTAATTAAAAGGGTACCATCAATTCTGCAATCAGTCAAACTTTGGCCTGAAATGTAACAGTTATGATTACAGATATTAAATGCTTATGTTTTTACCTTTACTCTCTGTTTAGGCTCTTTGTATACTTTAAAGCGGCCATATAGTATCAATTGATTATGGAGCTAGGGTAGTTTATGCCACTAAGAATTGGATTCTTTCTATATAGCTAGACCCATTTCCTTTGGGCTACAGATGGCTTACTTGTTTGATGCGTCTTCACATGGTAGTAGGAAAGGATAAAAAAATTAATAAATAAAAGAATGAGGGTTGGGTATTTAAACAGTCAAATAAAGTTTGGTCAATTGACCAGTCAAATATTGGTCAAAATTTGTAACAAAAAAAAAATGCCTATAGGTACAAATAAAACAGAAACTGCACACATTTTCCATTAGGAAATGTGTCAAAACAACAAAAAATAATATTTCTGCTAAGAAAATAGAAAAAAATATAGGGGGTTTTTTTTGGTAAGCTTGCTATCATCTTTGACTGGTCAAAAACTATGCGGTCAATTGACCAGCTTGCCAACCCTAAGAAGAATAAAAGAAAATGGAGATACAAGAGCTTTCTCTCCCTTTTAAAAGGTAGGCAGACTCAAAGTCAGACATGTCACCTGAAACTACCTCAAGCTCATTTGGGGCCAGACTTACTTGCCCTTTGGCACAATTTGTGGAACTGTACAGGTGCTAAGCAGACTACTAGTATCTGGCTCTTCATTTGTATTGACTGGATTGTTAAACTGAACTGCCTGACTAGTTTTCACAATGTATGGTGCATGTATTTATTTTCTTTTTAATGTTAAAGTATGAGTAAAACACTCACTGCTCGTGAAATGGGTTGTTTCTTTACAAGAAGGGCATTAAGGAGACATGATATACTATATAGACTACAATCCAAACATAAACTTTGTTGTGCAGTACTTTAACCTTTTCACATTCTTAAGAAAAGCTAAGTAGCTTATTTTCTCTAATATACATTGAAAGCCTTTTTTGCCTACTATTTATTAGGTGCTTAATTACCTAATGCATTTGAAAGCTACATTAGTACGTGGTACTAATACTCTGTCTTGGGTTTATTTTCTAGCTTTCAGCTTTCATTTATTGCAGTTCTGTAGCTAAGAATTTGCCATTAAGTACTCATGTGGAAGGAGTATAAACATGTTATTGGCTAGAATTTTTTTTTGTATCAATTACCCAGAAAATTTGTACTGTGCATTTTAATCTTTCTGTTTTATTTCTATATTAACCCCTTGTTTGTGAGGCATTGCAGCACAGCTTTTTAAACTGCCAGTCATTCACTGAATGCTAGCCCTTCAAATTCGATGATCAGGTATCTGATTCAGCATTGTTCTGTTCAGATGCGTTGTACTAATCAGATTTTTTTAAAATGGTCCCCGCTCCCCAGGGTCTTTAGAGATTTCACAGCATGCTTTGTAAGAGTTGCTACCAGTATACTAAACTGCCTAGCCATGGCCAACCGAATAATTATATCTGCCTACCAACTTCCTGACCCATTTTCCTGCATTTTCATTCGAATATAACACTGACTCCTTGCCCTGAAACAATCATCCATTGTTGCAGTGCACTTTTAATGGGGTGTTACATTCCACCCCAGAGGTATCAGCAGTTCAGATTTGTGCAAAGATAGTGCAAATAGACATGCTGGGTTGTGCCACTTATGAACCTGGCCTATGTTTTTAAAAATGCTTTGGGGTCTTCCTGGCAGAACGTTGTTTCAAACGTGCCAGATGCTATCATGAGTCATTACAAGCTGGTTGCAAATCTTAATAATGAGAACTATGATTTCTTTTCTTTTCAGAGCCAGAGCTTCAACTGTCTGGGAAAGGCAAAATGCCCAGCATCCAATGTGAGTTCTGTGCAGATGCAGGGTGATTCTGATTATTTCATCAACCATCTTGGGATCCCTACTTTGCAGTTTTCATATGAGGACATCAAGACCTTAGAGGTAACTCTGAAAGGAAATACGTGCCATGATAGAACAGATTTTGGCTTTCCTCAGACAGCTTGTAGCAAAAAAACTACCTCATTTTAGTGAATTGTTTTAGATGGGGTTTTTTTTTAGGTGTTTGGTGACTTTCTGTATATACTTGGAGACATTCTTTGCTGTGGTCTAGCATTGCATTAAAAAAGATGTATTACCTCTTGTCATAGAACAGATCACAGCAAGAAAGGGGCAGGAGTAGGAATAACATCAAAATATAATGGTGACTCTTCAGCATTCAATGCAACACACAACCCATCATGCGGCTTCTCTTTATCTTGCTTTGAGGAACAACATGAGAATTATCTAATCTGTGAGATTACACAGTACAAATTAATCAAACCAATTTTACAGATGGCCTTTCACCCATGAAAACAAATGATTATCTGTGTCAATTTTTATTGCTGTGCCTGGAAAAAAAAGATAAAACCTGAAAATGCATATTAAATCGTATCCAGACGATGGGCAGAATTGCGCTCTCCACTCTGCACGGTGGATGTAAATTCCTATGTGCTGGGTCTCATTCTCCAGTTCGCTAAAGTTCCCTTGCATAGCATGAAGACTGGCCTCTCTCCATATCCCTGGTAAGCACAGAGAGGAAGCATGTTGCGAGCATCCTGATTAGAAGGAAACAGAGAGAGGCTATGGCAAAGGCGGCTCTGTTATGTCTGGTTTTCCAATGATATCTTAGACTTGCTCCAGCAACTTGTCTAACTCGATTTGTGGCTGATGAACATTTATTAAATTGCAGTTAGCTCCCCACAGCACACCTTTTCCACTGCACTTGAGTGGAGGGCAGAATGTGCTCCTTTATTCTCAGTCATAGGTTTCTATTTGCCCTGTGCACACTCCTGGGCATTTTTACACATGCTCCAGAGGTGGGGGGAGAGGGAGGGCGGTGCTTTAATCAGAGCGGCTCTGAGAGCCACTCTAATTAAGGTGCTGCTGTGTCTTGTGTTTCAGCGTCCCTGCACTTAAAAATGGCAGTGGGGGTGTTTGAAATAAAGCTTATTCAAATAGCTTTAGATAAAGCGCCCCCACAGCCATTTTTAAGCGTGGAGACGTTGATACACAAGGCACAGGAGGCAATTGGCATGCTCTAGCAGACTCGATTAATTAAGTCTGCTGTGCTGCACTGGAAATCCAGTGCATCGGAGCAGCCACTGCACTCGTGTATAGGCACCCACTGTTCCACAGCACATAGGGGAAGTGGTTTTGGACACCCCACTACAATATTCTGTAACCCTTAGATGAAGAGAACCCCCACTATCATCCTTCCAGACATCTGCTCCCATGTGCACTTAAGCTGTCAATTTTCATTTCATTCTGAGGGTTGGTAAAATGGAAGAACACTTTAGCACTACAATGTTTTAAGGAGGGGGGGCTGTCAACAAAATTGGGAACTGAGGAGGTTAATAGAAGAATTAATTACAATCAGTTAGTGCAGAATTGTTCAAACTTTTTTGGTCAGTGTACTCCCAAGGGCTGGAAGGAAGTAGTCCCTTAGCAGCTGAGCAGGGGTGGGGGGGCGGAGGTCCCCCGGTGGCAGAAGTGCTGGTGGTGCAGCGGTGGTGGAAATGGCAGCAGCACCCACTGCCGAGTACCTCCTGAGGCCTTCCCAAGTATCCCTGGTTGAAAACCCTTGAGTTAGTGCGATCAAAACTTGTACTGTCGTTCTCTTTCAAACAATAAGCCTTCTACAAGCTGCCAGTGCAGCTATCATTATTAGTATTATTATATGCAAAATTATTTAGCTTAAAAATAATTCAGGGCAGTCTACTTTGGGTAACATACTGCAGTTGGCAAATGTTCTTGTCTGGGTAAATGCTTCAAGGGACATTTGGATCTTTTTTTTTTTTGTATGACATAGGGATATAGCCAAACAAGCATTTGGTTTACTGAACATCTATCACAGTAGCAACAGGGGATATGTCCCTACAGTCAGAATTGATTGACCTTAATTTTTATTTTTGGAGTCATCTTCAAAATGGGAATAATATGAACAGCTGCAATTATAAACACTATGCAGAGTACAGTACCAAGTACAGCAGCAAATGCTAAGCATTTTTCATTTTTATATTGTCATACCGTTTCATAATGGAAAGAGAATAATGGCCAGAACTTGAAATAATACTTTGTGGTTAATCAGAATAGAATTTTGTTATTTCTCACACTATGTAAATTCTTTTGGACTGGAGTCTTACTGCTCTTGAAAGTGCCTTGTTCACTGTTGTATTACTACCTGATTCCTTTTCTTCCATACTGGGTAAAGTTCACTTGTTTGCCTGCACAAGGGTTTCTGTACCATTTAAAAATCCTCAAAACAGTGGCGATGCATAGGGGGTTCACAGGGGTGCACGTGCACCCTCTGAGAGTGCTGGTGCACCCCCTGACAGGCCACGCTCCCTGCTTAGGCAATGGGCAGGGGGGTAGGTGGGAGTGCTGGTGCCCCCCCGTGAGCACTGGCCGAGGAGTAGGAGTGCCAGATGAAGTGCTGCAGCCGCTTCCTGGTCAGTGCGATCGGCCACAGGGGACCCCCTCCCCCCCCCGGTCAGTGAGATTGGCTCTGGTTGCTGGCTGGTCACTGGAGGGGCATGTGCCCCCCCTGACTAAGGTGACACCAGTCACCCATGCCTCAAAATAGGGAGTTTTACCCATGTTGTGAAATCTGCATAGTAAGCTTTAGAAAGATGAACTTCTCTGCTTTCGGTTCAGTACAGAGGCTCTGGATTCCAGTATCCTGGGGGAGGGGACAGCAAGACTATCAGGCTACCAGGAATCTCCTCAAAGCAGGGAATGATTGTTATCTTTACAAGAAGATTGAGTGTTATGTTTAATTCTAACAAAAATTTGGAAATGAGGCAGATGTGGGGTGACATCCCTGGCTTAAAGTATCTTCCATTTCTTGAAAATGGATTGGCTGAATTTTTTAAGCAGATGTTTTAATTGTCATTCCATGATTTTGTCTCTGTTTTATTATGATAGCTCTGGATAGGGATCATATATGTGTTAATATCATATCTCTCTTGAATCTTGTTTTGTTCTTGGCCTCTGTGGGCACGTCCACACATGCAGGCATGTGCACTTGCAGTGGCTCTAATAGCAATGGCACAGATTTGTGCCGGAGATTTGTGCTTCAGCACACGTGTCTGGACATGCACTTTGGTGTGCGGCAAATTGTGCCACTTGGGGCAAACTGATACTGCTCAGCTCCTCCAGGATCTTCAGCCGGGGGAGCTAGAGGCTGGGGCCAGCACCTGTGCTGGCCCCAGCAGTATAAAAAGCTGCCCTGGTGAGCCACTTGTTACTTGCCTCAGGAGCTTCTGAGGCCTGGCCAGTTGGTATCTGGGGACACTACCCCTTGTGCCAGCTGAACTGTTGAAGCAGCCCTAACTTAGAGTGGCCTCTGCACCCTCTACCCACTGCAGCATTCTGGCAGTGGGGGCTGCTGCCTGGCTCTGATCTGCTGCCACCTGAAACAGCATTTGCTCTCTTGGACCTGCAGCCCCATGAATGACCCTGGTGCTGCGGTATGGACACTGCAGCAGAGTCTCCTGCACCTCTGGGCCAGCTGCCAGTGGGCTGTAGCTACATAGTTGGGTAGCAATGTTATCATGTCTTCTGGTGCCTCTGGTCTGCCATCTGGACAGCTGTCACCCAAAAGATGTGCTCATTATGGTGGCCTGCTTTGATGTAGCAAAGCATGTCCTCTTGGCCCCAAATGGCCAGGTCAGCCACCTCATCTGGTGCTGACCCTGGGCAGGCTCCTCTGCCTGGGTCTCACCACTTGCCTCACCAGCAGAGATCTTGGTGTTTCCTCTTTAAAAATTAAAAATTCTGTGATAAGAAACCCAAATTCTCTCACTAAAATGCCCAAAATACATGTTCTTCCACTATTAAAATGAAATGCTGCTATATATGGAGAGATCAGTTGGGCAATGTTTTATTGATATATTCACAATTTTAAAGCAGTTTAGAATCCTACCAGTGCTTCTATCATCATAATAAAATGAATTCTAAATGCCTGTACACTTGGGTGTTTGCTTTTAGTTTTTTCTATCATAGAAAAATCAGAGGTGCCTCTTCCCCTTTACTCACCAGGATGTGAGGCACTAAGCAGCACTGATATGCTGGTGACCTGCCCCTGCCCCTGGCCTTACCACTCACTCTCAACTCACAGCCCTCACAAGTGCTTCTCACTCCTAACCTGCAGCCCCTACCTGCCCTTCTGGCTGCAGCTCTGTCCCAGCACCAGGGCGTGAGTCCAGCTGCAGCTGTTCCACCTGTTGCTTTGTGGCTCTGAGCAGTGCTAGTCCTTGCTGTTCTGCTCCCTGTGCCTGTGCCCAGGCCCCAGTGATCCCCATACCACAGCTGGGGCTCAGGGACTGGACTGAGCAAGCCCCTTCCCTTCCAGGCCGGCCTCCCCCTGAACAGGCTGCTGTAGCAGGGCAGGAGGTCTCTAACCCTGGCTCTGGCAGCCTCTCCTAGCTGGAGTGCTGTCCCACCCCTGACCCCCATCTCTTTCTCTCACACACCCCTGCTGCCACCTCCCCCACCCTTCCTAAGCCCATCACACCCCCTCTCAGGCAGGGGCTGCATGTCCCAGCACTGGTGTGGGCAGGGGTGCAGTGCAGCAGTTGCCCCTGCAGCCATGGTTTCTGCCAGCAGGTCTTGTCCCATCCCATTTGGCATCTGGGCATGCAGGGTGTGAGATGTGTGGGGGGATGTGGGGGGATTGTGTGTGTGTGTATGTGGGTGGGAGGGAGGGATGCTCGGGAGGGGTGGGTCCCCTTGCACAGCACACAGCCCACGCTCAGGCAGCAGCAGCCATTGGGGTTCCTAGCAAAGCCCCGACCTGCGCCACCTGTGCGACATGGTGCCATGCCGGCCTGGCCCACTCACATGAGCCCTCAGCCAGAAGTGGACCACTTCTGCTGTCACCCAAGGTCCTGGCACTGCAAGCA